GCAATATTTTTAGTATAATTCGTGACTCAGACACAGGTCATTTTAAGACAAATGCTAGTAGCACTTCTGTTATATTTCCTTCTCTTTCCATTTAGATGTTTATGTTTCTTTTGCAGTGTATGTTTTTATGATGCTTGCAGTTACATCTATTTTTTTCTGGGGGTTTAAACTATAGTGGTAATGCAATTTGATATTATTACGTTTACTTGTGCTGAATCAAATATATAATTCCTACAAGGGTATGGAAACTTGACAGGCTCGATTGACGCCACATGGACTGCCCTCTGCAAGTCAGTCACCACTGCTGCGAGAATAACCCTAGGCACTATGAGACCAGGTTGTCATCGAATTGACAAGCGAGCATGGCTCTGGATGGAGCAAGTGCAGCAGAAAGTATGGGAAAGGAAGGTGGCTTACAAGAACTGGTATGTGCAGAAGACCTATGAAAACTGGCAAAAGTACATCACTGCAAGAAGAACAGCCAAGAAAGCTGTTGCAAAGGACAAAACCAATCCCTACTGGGACTTATATGAGCAACTGGACACAAAGAAAGGTGAGAAAAACATCTATTGACTAGCGAAAATGCATGCCACGGCAGCAAAAGACATTGAACACTACATGTATGTTAAGGATAAAAATGGACGGCAACAGCAGGATAAATTCAAAATCCTGAAACACTGGCAGCAGCATTTTGACAAAATCTCTAGTGTTGAATTTCCACCCACCAACTCCTGATGGCATGACTAATGCTGGCCCAGTCCTGCATGTTGCCCCTGAAGAGGTTACCAAAGCTGTTAGTGGCATAAAGTATTCGAAAGCACCTGGCCCAGACAATCTCCCAGCAGATGTTTGGAAGCTGAAAGACCTCTGTGGCACAGCAGCCAATTTGCTGACAAACCCCTTCAATGCCACTGTGGACTCTGGCCACACGCCTGCTGACTGGGCCACGAGTATCACAGTTCCCCTCTTCAAAAACAAAGGCGACCCAGCAGACTGGTCCAACTACTGACCAATCCACCTCCTGTCACATACAATGAAAATGTTTGAGCAGATCCTCAACCAGCACCTCCATGACATTGTTGAAATCAGTATTAACCAGTGCAATTTTGTCAAAGGCTTGAGTACTCCTGACCCCATTTTCATGGCTCACATGCTCATGGAGAAGCATAGAGAAAAGAAGTCATTACCCTTGGCTTTCCTCGACCTAGAAAAAGCTTTTGACCATGTTCTGCATTAGCTGATATGGTACATGCTACATGACCATGGTGTGCCTGAGCTACTCATAAAATGGGTCCAGATGCTTTATGATAATACCAGCAGCCGAATAAGTACACCACCGGCCTCTCCAACAGCTCTCCTGTGAAATTTGGCATGCACCAAGGCTCTGCACTGTCACTGTTGCTGTTCATTCTTGTCATGGATACCATCACGTGAGACCTGCATCACAGTGCCCCCTTGCTGTACGCTGACAATGTCCTGCTTGCAGCTACCACTAGGGAAGAACTGCAGCACTGTGTCCAGACACGGAACGATTATCTTGGCCAATTCGGTTTGTGCCTCAATATCAAGAAGACTGAGTATCTGGAGACTAGCCTGAGCACCTCCACCATTCAGGTCAGTGGTGAAGATCTAGTGAAGACAAACTCCTTCCGTTACTTAGGAACCCACCTGCAAAGTGACGGCAGCATTAATGGGGAAGTGCACGCAAGGGTGGAAAGAGATCACTGCAATAGGCACATGCCAATTCACCTAAAATCAAAAGTGTACAGAATGACGATCCGCCCAGTATCACTGTATAGCACTGAGTGCTGGCCAACCACTTAAAGTGCTGTGTGCCCTTTACATGTCATGGAGATGCACATGCTCCACTGGTCATTAGGCGTTTTGACCACATCAGCAATTATACAGTCTGGCAGCAGATGAGCATTGCACTGATAACAGAAAATGCGGGGAAAACAGCTACAGTGGTATGGCCACATTCTACAAGCAGCACCCCACACCGTCACCTGCACCACCTACCATTTTAACACCAATGGCAAATGCCCACGCGGAAGACCAAAGCAAAGGTGTCAGGACACAATGCGGACATGAAAATCACCCAGTTGGACCCGATTGTTGTGTTTGATCGCGGGAAATGATGCTCGTCGATCTGAAAAGCAGACCCTGCACCTGCAGGAAAAACACTAAGATGCTGATGATATGGAAACTTCCTAAAATTTCATTGCTTTCAGTGGGAGGTATATTTTAAGACAGGGCTCCTGCAATGTTAATCGGGTACTGATTATCACTGAAGCCTAATTTACCTATAGAAAAGGCAATGCTTTGCAAGCTCCTGGATTTCTACAGCTGCAGTTCAGTCCCAGGAAAAATGTGTCTGGTTTAAGGAGATTCAGATGGGCGCTATGTGACCTCCCCTATTCTTTCCAAAGCATCTTTTTTATTTTGAATATGAAATGCTATGCAGCTCTAAAACTGATATACTGCTTTTCTTTTGGGTGAAAGTTTGTATAGAAATAGTAGTAACAGCAGCTAGCTAGCTAGTCTAGCTATTTATTTATTTATTTATTTATTTATTTATTATAAATAAACTATAGTAGCAGCAGTAGATTATTACAGTAGCAGCAGATTATTACTGTTATTATTACTTGCACCTATTTGGCAGGCTTTTTTTTTTTTCCTGATAGCTGAATGACTGACAGCTTGGAAGCAAAATGGGATCTTCCAAAATTAAGATGATTAAATGCTCTGAGGTATAAACATCTATGAATAAAACAACCTTTATTGAAACATCAAAAATTACTTGATAAGAATAAATGACTTTATACAGTGCTGATTGCAGCTGAGTCTACAGAGAGAGGAGAATAAAATCTGAAGAATAAAAGTGGAACAATTGGCTTCTTGTGGATTAGTCCCTCGTGGATGCAGCGTAATCCTTAGCATGTTTACACAGAAGTAAAAGTATTTGAGTAAGGCATAGGAATTTTCAACTGATGCCAATTTCCTCCTAATGATTTCAGTAGAAATATTTTCATCAGGATTGCAGCAGTGAAATTAGGGTTAAATTCCCTTTCCATCCTATTCATTATCAGTTAATATTAGATGCAAAGGCACATTTAATGCCAGATGTCATCTTGCCTTCTGAGCAGGCATGCTTAGAATTACATAACATATGTCCTTCAGGGATCAACTGTTGCAGCTTTTTCCATACACACTGTCATAGATATGTCATTTTAACTCTGTCAGAAAGGGTGGGGGAAGACTTTAATGGTTTATTGTATGCAGCATAATCCTCAAAGCATCTCCTTGTCAACACCCACTGTGTTTCAGACATGCCCCAAGTAGGTAGGAGCCAGAGAAATAACCAGCTAGAATCTATGGCATCTGGCAAGCAGGATATGCTTGGTTACTAGATTACCCCCCAAAACTTTCCAGTTATTTTCAGTTTATAAGGATTCAGACTAATGTAATAATGGATGTCAGTTGAACAGAAGGAAGCAATATTTATTTCTAAGAATCAAACCTATGCTTATAATAGTTACCTGGTGTTTTTATAGCTACCATCTGAATAGTTTCTAAATTCCAAGTTGATGCCCCATATAGATGATCACACACACAATTAGAATTGCATGTACTGTATCTGTTGGCCTGTACTCACACCCCATGCATTCAGCTCTGCTTTCCTTCACACATTGAGGGAATATTTTCTGAAGCAATAAGTTTTCTCTGTGTTGGTTTCCTGCACAGTTTCCAATAGTGATGGTGCATGATCTGAATCCATTTGCAGGCATTGCTGGAATTGGATAATAATTACAAATGTCTCTTATACTGCAGTTGTTCATTCTCTAGTGCTGGGAATATGGCAGAAGTGAGAAG